CTTGGAACAACTTAATTCCAATGGACATTCTGGAAATTAAGTGTGTATTGAAGACCTTCCCATCAGCTGCTACGAAATTGGTTGTATACTGAGTCCAACATTCTTTTGGAAGAACATCTGGATTCATCATGGTTCTTTGTGCTCTAGTGTCCATATAGGCTATGGCTTTGATTGGTGAAGCATATTTATTGAGGAGAACTTGAACCTCCACACAAGGTTGTGATGGAGTCTAGAGGACACTATTTACTTCTTGAGTAGAATAAAGAGGAATGTATTCTTCTTCTCTGCTTAATGAATCTGAAGAATCATCAGACGATTCTTGAAGAGTAAAGAGAGTATCCTGGTCTGCTTCTTCTTGTTCAGAATATTCAAATTCAATATCCCTTTCAATAGGTTCTAATGAATTTACCAGGTTTTGAGCTTTGGTATCTTTGTTAGGGCATTTCTTAGCAAAATGTCCTTTTTTCCCGCAGATAAAACATCTGGTTCCTTTGTTTTTTCCTCTCTTGTTCTTCTTCTTGAAATATTTCATCCTTTTCTTCTTTTTTGAAAACTTCTTTATTTTGCCTTTTTTCTTGGATGAGCAAACACACTTCTTTTCTTTGCATCCAATTTCAAGATATTTTTTCTTGCAGGCTTTAGTAAACTTTGACCTTTCATTCATCACATTAGAGATGAATAAATGTGTCCTGCACAATTTATCAAGAGATTCTAATGTCTTTTGGTGGATTTGGCCAAGGCTCAGACTGGTTAAATCTTGTCTTTGGGCTGCAATGAGTTTGTGAATCTCTAGTTGTAGTTCCTGAGGAAGAGAAACAACATAAGTATTTTTTAGACTAACATCATTGTACCCATTAAGAAAGTAGAAAATCTCTACCATTCTTTTATGATGTCTTTCTAAATTATTTTTCTTCAATTAACAATATCTCATCTCAAAATAGTCTTGTCTGATTTTCTTATCATAGAGATCCATGTCACCCATAAATTCTTGGTGTATGGTTCCAAGAACTTGGTGAGTATTTCCCAGTTGATGAAACTGGTCCTATTTGATACTGCCAAGATTGTGATACCATTCTTTTAGGGTGCCAGTCATTCTGCAACAGAATTCTTCAATGACTTTGTATGGATCTGCATCTAGCTTCATGAATTGAGTATCTAACCAAGCTCCGAAATCAAGTAATATTTTTCTTTAATATTTTGGAGAAACATCATCAAGAGTGAAATAAGGACCTCCATTAATTTTTGATACTTTTTTCTCTTGTCTACTAGTTTCTTCTTCTTTATCAGGTGAATCATAAAAGGATCATCTTTGATTACTGGATTGTACTATATTAACCATCAGCATTTCAGTAATATTTGTGAATTCTTCATTAAAGGATTTGGTTTCTGATAATTCTGATTCACTCTAGGGTTCTTCAGCTGTTGAAGATTCATAAGATTCATCATGTGAATCCTTTCCCAGTAGATAAAGATTCATGGGATTCTTTCTCAGTATCTGAATCGTCAACTGGTTCATCTTCTTCAAGTATTACACCTATAAAAGGTGTTTTTTCTTGACTTCCTTTTGATGACTTCTTAGGAGAAGATTTTTCTTCTTCAGAAGAGTCTAAGCTTTTTGTCTTGTTAGTTTCTGAAGAGGAAATACTCATCTTTCCTTTGCCCTTAGAATCACGTGTGGAAGACCTAGGTTTAGGTCTATAAGCAAAGGGTAAGGAGTAAGATGGTGCTGTAAAAGTTCCTTGATAAAAAGGCTATGGACTAAAAGGAGAATAGTAGCTTGATTGTACATGAGGTGGAACAAGAAAGGGATTAATTTCAGCTTCCCTATTCTGTTGTTTAGCAGCAGTTAATTCATCCATTTCCTTCACTTGCTCTTTGAGTCTCCTGATTTCTCTATCTTTTTTGTGGTATTCTCCAGTGAAGACAACTTTTTCTTCTGTCAATTTTGAAATATCTAACTCCAATTTAGCAATTTGCTTTTGAGATTCTTTATAACATATTCCGAGTTTATCAGAAAGATATTGGAGCTTTTCATCATTCTTATGGACAGATTCAACAATCTGATCCATCTTTCCATCCATCTTTTTCAAGAGTTTATTTTGAGCCAAAGAATTCTCAGTCTGCCAATTGAGAACTTCTTCAGCTTGAGATGGAGCTTTAAGAGTTCCATCTGGTTGTACTTCTGCAGGTATCACTAAAGGCCTGGTGTTGACCTTAGTGACTGGATCTACCTTCCTTTCCAATGAAGGAAAATCTTCATCATACTTTGTAAACATCATACAGGGAATAGGAGCTGCAACTTTTTCTAAAGAAGTGCTGAAAGAAATGCACAATCTTGGAGGAGGAGGCCATGTGATCAAATTTGGATCACAAGGAGGTTTAGATAACATGCCTTCTTTTCTTAAGATCTCCAGGGCTTCATCATAGATGGGCAAAGGTTTTCTTTCATTCCTGATTCCTACCCATGGAGTAAATCCAGGGTCTCTTCTTCTGGGCTTAGGAGGTGGTTTGCAAGGTTTCTTTTTCTTCCTTCTCAGATTGTCTTCATCATCATCATTTGATTCTTCATCAGATGTATCACCAGTATGCGTCCAACAATCACAGTCAGGATCACACATGGAAGAATCAACATCCCACATGAAGTGTCCATCAAATTTGTTTGAGTAGATGGAAGATCCATCAGGTTTAAAGTTGTATACTGGGATTCTGTGTTCTTTTCCGACAAGAATTACCATAAGTGACTGGAAACAGTTGGAAGAAGGACTTGGTTCATCCTCAGGCTTTCTGAATATGGTTCTGACACCACCATCAACAGATTTTCTGAAGGTAGCTTCAAAAGATTGGATTGGTTTGTTGTTTTGCCTGATCTTCTCATAGTTAGTTGTTCATTCAAGCGGAATCAACTTGAGAAGTTCTTTTCTGGGAACTTGGATGATGGATGGAACATCATCTTCACTTCTGTTGGCTATGACGAACAAATTATCATTTACCATTCCTGGAAGAGGAGGGTCATGGGCATGGTTTTGAAACCTGTAGATCATTTGATGATGAAGTGTTGCAGTGATGACTTCTTCAATTTGTTCAGCTCCAGTGAGCTGGATCTGGACGTTCAGTCTGGTTGGAAGAGTTTTATCTTTCAAATAGACATTGTAGTTTGGAAAAATAGTGAGGATCACACTTCTAGCATGAAGAGTGGTTAGTAGTATAGCTATAACAGCATGTTTATAATGGATGTAAGTGGAATCAAGAAGAGTGATTCTGGCAGTAACTGAAAGATTTTTCCTACCATGTAAAGATAGGACTAATCTAATTGCTCCAAAGTGCATAGCAGTGTATCCCTCAGTCTTCCAGTGATCTATGAAAGTGTTAGGGATTTCAAGGTTGATGTATCTCTCTTCTTTTGTAGCAGATATCTCACACTGGTCCATTCTGGTGGATTGAACATATTCTTTTATAGGAGATTGTTTCCTGAGGATCAACAAGTTCACTTTGTTGGTCCAGGATTTTTTTCTTCTGAAAACATTGTAAGGGCTCAACATAGGAGCTATGGATTCCTGAATCTGAGCATCTTTAGGAACATAGGTATATGGTAATGAGATAGGAGAGTTTAGAAGAATAAGAGAGATTTCAGTAGAAGAAGTGTTTATGTGTGTATTCATGATATTGTAGAAACTCTTACTCACTTTATTTATAATGACTATCACACTTATCCACTTTTTCAACAAAGACTTTAGACTCTGAATAAATACAAGAGTTCGTGACATTGTTACAGACATGGGTGACTGTGAATACAATCTCTCCGGTAGCTACCTATCAGCTGTCTAGCCGATAAATCTTGAGAATATAAACATCAAATAATTTAAAGACTCTGATATCATTACTAGCCGAGAACCGCTTATATCATAACCTAAAGAAAAACTATCAGCACTTTCTAATACTTTGAGCAAACTTATTTCAGCGTATATAAATTTTTTAAATCTATTTCTTCATTTTACTTGCACAAGTCATAACACCCAAAATATCAGCGTACTTATGATTTTCGTTGTAACAGTGCTAAGAAGGTACGAATTTTTTCAAATTAACGTATACACATTTCATTATATAAACATTTAAGTTAAGGAACAGAAAAATTGGCTGCAATCACATCATCCCTGTCATATATGCTTTCACACGGGAAAATCCAACCAACGAGCAATTTTCCTTAATTTTCAGTAGTTGAATTGAACAACTAGCATCCATGAACGCATAACTACGTACCTTCCTAATATCATATGGCTTCTACCTTCAGGACTCTCTTTTTCTTTCTTTCTTTTTTCTTATTACCTCTATACTCTATTGTTTAATCTAATCTAATATTGCAAAAGCACATTGTTGATATGTTAATAAAAAAAGAAACAAATTTAAAGCAGAAAGCTTTGGACTTAGGAGTGAGAACTTCGGGGGATTGGGGCAAACATTATCTGGCATATGGCATCACAAGGCTCCGGAACGAAGAAAGGTACATATCTGTGAGTCACGACAACCAACGCCTCCTGATTAAACACTTTTTGGATATATTATTTAATACTGTTTTTAATAATAATTAGTTAATTCTTTAAAAATTAAAATACCTGTCAATTGATTTTTTAAAAGTTCTATTGTTTATTTCTAAAAAATAATTAATAAAAATGTTCAAAGATTATTAAAAAAGTATATTGTTAACATTTTTGAGTTAACTTTGTTTTATGAGAATAGATAATATTAATATAATAAGCAATGTTAATTCATGCTCTGAGAAAAAATATTTAAGAAAATTGTATTTTGTAAAAATTAATTAATATTTTAAGGTACTATAATTAATAAGAGGTACTATGACATGTAACTCAACAATGTGATTTTCGAGCTTTTTCTGAAAAAGTCTGACACAGCCACTCGACTGTGTAAATTTACCTTCACTGGAAAAAGAAAAGAAAAGAAAAAGATTCTCCACCACATAACTTCTCACATTCTCTTACTCATTCATTCCTTCGTTTCTCTGTAGTTACTGCAGAAAGCTGCTTAGTAGGCACAACAAGTTTATCTATCCAAAGGATCTGGTCTGCACTTGCTGTAGCTGCTTCTTGTGACCTTTTTTTAACCTTGTTGCTTCTGAGAACTTGTTCATGCCCTTCTCTCTGTGATTGGCATCACTGGCGTAGTGTGTATTTCATTATCCTCAAATTTTTTACTCTAACTTCTTCACTGCGCTGTAGTATTAAGAAGTGAAAAAAAGCAACTTTGAGTTCTGATCGGTGTTTATGGAGTTAATGGGAGGTGGAAAGTTTAGTAGATGTGTTGTTCTGTTGTTCTTGAATGTTCTGTTAGTGGGAGTGAGTGGGATTGGTGTTAATTGGGGCACACAGTCCACACACCCTTTGTCACCATCTAAGGTGGTGAAAATGCTGAAAGACAATGGCATTCAAAAGGTTAAACTTTTTGATGCTGATCCTGGTATCTTAAATGCTCTCAAGAAGTCTGGGATACAGGTCATGGTGGGGATTCCAAATGACATGCTTTATACCCTGGCTAACAGTGTGCAAGCAGCTGAAAAATGGGTTTCCAAGAATGTTTCTGCACATGTTTCTTCTGGTGGAGTAGACATCAGGTACATACACCTTTTTTTACTCTTTTGTAGAGATTCAATCAACCATTATTTTATACAGGTTCATGCCTTTGAATAGGGTTTAAAACTTTAGATTGGAGCTTCATGTAATTACTGTCATTATCACAGATTTTGTTGCTTAGCTTAGTGTCCATTTATGATAGGATGTGTTTGCATAAACCGGCTAACTTCTTTAGAAATGTGAATGAAAAACACCATAGTTGCTAATCTACTAACTAGGAACCAAGGCCCAGTTGAGAACACAAAGTGATATTAAGGTTTGATGGTACCTAACTTTGATTAATTATGTAATGGATGCATTGTCAATTTCAAGAAAATCTAAATTTCTAACTGGCTAATTTTGTTTATTATTCCAAACATAAAGAGATGCAAACTAGGAAATGCCAGATAGCTTCGGGTGTTGGACTCCAAAAAGATATGCTTATTATTCATTTATCACTTCCCCAATATCCTAGGATGGCTCTCCCCATGATTTCAAACTCTGGTTGCTTTGCATTGTCACTTCTGCACGATGTTTTGGTGCTTCTGATGTTGCATGATTCACTAATCTAAACATTAGTTATTCTGTCTTCTTCTTTGATGTATTATTGGTGTTCCTAAGTTTTCCCACACTGACAAATGCAATTTTCATCTATCATCATTGAAGATACTCATTTCTAATTATTATACAAGTCTCAACTTCACATACGTTCTTCTACTTCAAACAAAGTAGTTTGATATTATCCTTTACTTCAATATATTGTATACAGTGCCCCTGGTGATTATATTTAGCTCTACCACTACTTGTTTCTAGTGCAGTGAAAATACATGGTTTCTCTTTGATAAACATTGTGCTTGACAGATTTTAATTGTTTGTTGCATAATTCTATTGGTTTGGATATTTCTCCTGGACATTAAAGGGCAGCGTTATCTGATAAAATGCTTTTAAGGAGTGGTGGTGCTATAATTGTTAGAAGAAAACATTGCAACCGGAGAGGAAAAGACTTCTAATGAATGGACATTAAGAGTCTTTCCTAGGTGAAATTGTAGTGGAATATGCAATGAAAGGCATTAATTTCAGGGGTTCTGCGCTTCTGCTTGTGCCCTGTCATGGACCACTGAAACTGTCTTCCATCTACTTTGTCTTTTTGGAAGATTGTTCAATGTCTAATCTTCCACATCATCTACTACCTAATGTATTCCTTTTGATTCTCATATATGCTGATCTAGGAAAGCTGCATGCATTGATAACGTGCAGTCCTGGAATAAATTGTTTGAGGTTTTTAATAGTCCAATCTTCTTAATTTTACATTCATCAATGTATTTTATTGATTTTAAATTCATATCCCAGAAAATAATGTGCACTCTTGGCCGACTAATTGGTTAGAGTAGTCGGACTATATTCCTACCAAAAGGTGAGATGTCAATTATAATTGGTTATATTTAGGTATATCTATATCAAGGTTGTCAATGGAACAATTCATATCCCTATAGTTATAGCTATTAGCTGAATGTCTCTTCCTTGTATTTTCTTCACTCGATACCAAAGCACGATTGTGATTATTTTCCTTAAGAGAGGTTACTGTTTTACTGTTAACTGAAGGAAAAGTTGGTTTTCATTGACCTAGGATTGCTACGCTTTTCTTTTTGTTCTTTGCATTGTTAATGGCATTCTTATGCCTGTTCGTTCATCATTTACTATTTTTTTTGTAAATAGATCTTGCAATTAGAGCTGGTATCATATGATCTCTGCAACAGTACGATTTCTCTATATAATAATTTTGTGAGTCAATATGCTTATGATGCCTATTTCTATTCATTCCTGATACTTTGACAATTGGGGGAAAATATAGACGATTCCTTCTCTGGTCAACCAACATCTTTAATATTGTAAGACTAAATGGTTTCCCTTCTAGATGATAAAAACTGCGTGTGTTAGCACCTCTCCCTTCCTTTCTTCTAGCACCTAAGTTTATTAATTCATTTGTAATCACTTCAAAGCGATTGATCCATGTAGCTGACCTTACATAGTGACATAAAATTTCATCTTTATTATTGATTCATGCTTGTTTATATTAGATCTGTAAACTCTACGACTACGTGTTCCACTTGTCTATATTTTCTTTTTCATACACACCATTTCTTGTGGCTTTTGCAAGGTACGTTGCAGTGGGGAATGAACCATTCTTGTCAACGTACAATGGTACATACGAAGCCACAACTCTTCCAGCTCTTCAAAACATCCAGGCAGCTCTAACGAAATCCGGTTTGAGCAACCGTGTCAAAGTCACCGTTCCCTTAAACGCCGACGTGTACCAAAGCTCGTCTGAAAAGCCATCAGACGGCGGTTTCAGGCCAAACATCAACAATGTCATGCTGCAGATTGTCAAGTTCTTGAACGACAATGGAGCTCCCTTTACTGTGAACATCTACCCCTTTATAAGTCTCTACTCTGACCCCAATTTTCCTGTTGACTATGCTTTTTTCAGTGGCTATCAGCCTGCTATAAACGACAATGGAAGGAGCTATGACAACGTGTTTGATGCCAACCATGATACTTTAGTATGGGCACTACAAAAGAATGGGTTTGGAAACTTGCCTATAATTGTAGGGGAAATTGGATGGCCCACAGATGGAGACAGAAATGCAAATATTCAATATGCACAACGTTTTAACCAAGGTTTTATGTCACGTTATATGTCTGGAAAGGGTACTCCGATGAGGCCTGGTCCTATAGATGCATACTTATTTAGTCTCATAGATGAAGATAATAAGAGCATTCAGCCAGGGAACTTTGAACGTCATTGGGGCATGTTTTACTTTGATGGGCAACCCAAATATCAACTTAATCTTGGGTCAGCCCGAGGGAATGGGTTAGTGGCAGCTAGTGGTGTTGATCATTTGGCTAAAAAGTGGTGTGTTTTGAAACCCTCAGCAAACCTTAATGATGACCAAGTGGCACCTAGTGTAGCCTACGCTTGTCAAAATGCTGATTGCACTAGTCTTGGGTATGGGACTTCATGTGACAAGTTAGATGTTCACGGTAACATTTCTTATGCCTTTAATAGCTACTACCAAATTAATGACCAAATGGACAGTGCCTGCAAATTCCCTGGCCTTTCTATGGTCACTGACAAAGATCCTTCGGTTGGAGATTGCAAATTCAAAATCATGATCCAGACAGATTCTGCAATGCTCAATGGGAGACCTGGTTTTCTAAGAATAGTGCTCTGTGTTTTTGTCTTTTTACTATTCCGTAATCTTTCGTTTTGATTTGCTTGCTTTTAATTAATTTTTACTATTCCGTAACCCTGTCTTTTTAATTTTTTTTTGGTGAATTAAACTCTGTAGCCAATGTAAGGGGGAAAATGCGTTAAATTGTTTATTGCTGCATTAATGTTGACCATTTTACACCCTGCCCTATAGCTGTCTATTTCTTTTTTCACTAGTTACAATGCCTTTACGGATTTATTTTAAAATATTTGAAATTAAATGAATAAAAATATAATTCATTAAAGTTGGTAAATTTAATAGTTGGGATGAAAGTGTAATCTTTTAAAATTTTGTTAGAAATTTTAAGTTATTTTAACTGAAATTACACTTGGACATACATGTGTTTTGTGTATATTCTTTCCGTACTTATCATTAATTTTTCACTTTAAAATATATTTTTTCTTTATTGAATTTTATCATAACGTTGTGTTATATTTAATATTCTTAATATAATACTTGTATCTTTTATTAAGATAAAAAAAACAGTCATGGTCCTCTTGATTGATTGTGATAGCATGTAAACTACTTACTCAAAAATGGCAACTTCTTACTAAAACACTTACTCAAATATTATTTAATTATATTACTTTTATTTGGTTGTGTATTATACCTTCAAAACAAAGCATTTGCTCTTACATTAGTAAAACAGTGTACTCAACTTTATTTATAGATATAGAAGATGCTTATAATTTTTTTATCAAATTTATTAATTATAAATTAAGTATAATTTAAGTTTATATACATATAAATATAGAAAAAGGTAGGATACCAACCAATGATGCAATAAATGTATACTTTTACATAGTTGATAAATATTATTAAACAATCACATAGCATTATTAGAAAACCTTATATTTATGTATGTTAAAATTTTAAACATTAAAAATACATTATAACACATTTTCATTATTATAAAACTCATTAATGTCTTATTTTTATATATATATTTAACAGGCTTAAAAAAATTACTTTAAATTTAAAAAAAATGATCAATTCAAAATTTTTAATTAAATAAATAAATAAATAAATAAATATATATATATATATATATATATATATTGTAAAATTTGAAAAGGTAGAGTGTTAATCAATATATTTTTGTTTTGCTGTTTTATAGTATGATTATAAACTAAAATTACTTTATATATTAACTTATTTTGTATGTATATTAGATTTTTAAAAAATTAATTATAACAAAAGTTACATACTTCATAGAGTATAGAATGTTTTACTTATACATATAAAAAATCAATATAATTTAAGTTGATTGATGCAACATATGAGTTTTTAAATGTAAAATGTTAATCAATCAAGTACTAATTATGGAGTTTTACACTCCGAATAAGTATTATAAAATGATAAACACAGTGTTGTCAAAATTATTAGATATTGATATGTTTGTCAAATTTTTAAATAAAAATTAAACTTTTGTATAATTTTTTATTATATGCTATAACAGGCTTAAAGACTGTAAAGTTATTTCAAGCTTTAATAAAAACAATAACTTTTAAAATTAAAATAATATGTTTATATATAGAGAGATAAAGATAGAAATAATAATTTAATTTTAATTATTTTACTCTAAAATTATTTTAATATATCCTGATATATATATATATATATTATATTTCGCATTTTGATAATTATAATTATATAAATTGAAACATCTAAAAATATAATGATTGAAATAAGAGCATAATTTTTATAAAAATATAAATTTACTTCCTTTCATGTTGAAAATAAATGAAATTTTTTATTCCTGTTGCTAGGAGAGACTTGAAATCCAAAAATTTTAACTTTTATTTTGTTTTTAAACTTGTCAAGTACCAGAAAGTTACATTGTTTGGGCCGTTTTTCTTGTTGGGCCTCGAAGGAAACGGGCACATGAGTGATATGGGTAGGTTAAGGAAGCGGGTCGGGTATCTCCGGAAGCTTCCGATCCATCATCGCGTTGGTGTTGTTGCGGTGCCCTTTCCCAGTGTCTTTGTTTGTTAATTTCTTTCTTTATTCCTTTATTCCTTTCTTTCTTTTTCCTTCATTTATGCATCTCTTTCGCTCTCACCTGTGCGACTGAAACTGCTTAGGCTCATATCCATACTCTGTAATATAGATAGATATATTCATAAACACATAAACGAAAAACAATAATCATATCATATATCATATATCATATATTATTATTATACGATTGTATTTTCCGTGTGTCGCTGATGGAGGATCAAGCGAATCAAGCTCCACCGGCACGCGATAAAGAGGAGGAGGATTCTAAGAAGGAAGAAGAGGAATTAATCGCAAAGGTTAACAAGCTCATGGAAAACATCACTTCTGCACCTGATAACCCTAAACCCACCGTCCTTCATGCTCTCGCTTCTATTCTCGAAACTCAAGAGTCACGGTATAGTTGTTTTCGTTGTTTTTGCTCAATGAGATTTCTTCGCTCGTGAAATCGCATGGACCCTGGGTTTTTATGTGATTTCTGTTGGAATAATTTCTAAAGTGTTGATATGTGTGTATCGGTGAATTCAATTGTGTGCGTGAATGTCAATGTCGTTGTTTATTAGGTCATCTACGTGTCTTGTTGTAGTTTAGACTCTGAATAGTTACTGTACTGAAAACTCTGAACGTCCATGTCAACTGTGTCATATTTCTTTATGGTTTCTATTGATATTTATTTATTATTATTATTTTGCAATGTAGATACATGGAAGAGAATGGTTATTCTTCCTCCAGTACTGCCCGTGCTGCCCATATCATTGGTCGGCTTGGCGGTTTAATTCGGGTATTTTCAATCATTTCCATGCATGATTCTTGTTGTTGTTGGTAATATAGGTGTAAATCTTTTCTTCAAGCTAATTTGTTGTGTTAAGTTATTGAGATAGTGCTTTGGCTCTTTCGTGCTCTGCAGGAAAATGATGAGTTCTTTGAGTTGATATCTTCTAAGTTTCTCTCAGAAACAAGATACTCCACCTCTATTCAAGCTGCCGCTGCCAGACTTCTCCTATGCTGTTCCCTGACCTGGATTGTAAGATTTTCTTTTTTTTCATATTTGGTTTTGTTAATTTTTTTCATGTTGTCCATGTGTTTTTCAATTGATCTGATGAAGTGTAAACGGACAGTATCCTCATGTTTTTGAAGAATCCGTCTTGGAAAACATAAAAAATTGGGTGACGGATGATAGTGCTAGGCTTTCTGCTGAAGAGCAACATCTGAAGCATAATACAGGGAGGAGGGAGGCCTCAGATTCTGAAATGTTGAAAACCTATTCTACTGGAGTCCTTGCTGTGTGTTTGGTCGGGTATGCTATGTTCTCAATCTATAGGCTACTTTTAGATTTCTTGCTCAAAAGTTTGACTTAATTGTTGTGCTTTAATTTTTGCTTCCAGTTATTGCTGGTGCTTATCTTGCTTATTCCTATTTATGTTTAGTTCTCATTAATTTTGCAATGATCACAGCGGAGGTCAAGTAGTGGAAGATGTATTGACATCTGGCTTGTCAGCAAAGCTTATGCGTTATCTACGCTTGCGTGTACTGGGAGAGACGAATAGCAGCCAAAAAGATGTTACCCATATAACAGAGAGTAGGCATGCGACTGGGAATACTTCAGGCAGAGGTAGAGATGATGGTCGTGGTAGGTTTCGCCAGCTCCTTGAATCAAGTCATTTGGATGATACAAGGATGATTGATGAGAGGCCTTTAGATGACGTAACTCTTGAAAGGGGTCCAGATAGAAGCATTAGTGGACAAACTTGCCAAGAAGAATCTTGGATAGATGGTGAACCACCTGATGAGCTTGGTGAAGGTGCTGATATCCGTGAGGTAGATTCTGATGGGGAGGATAGATGGCGCTGTAGAGATGTTCGTGATGGAAGGATAAAATATGGTGAGCATGATGATAATGTTCGAGATGACTCCTCAAGGCGGCGTGCAAACCGTGGATGGGCAAGATCTAGAGGGAAAGGAAGGGTCAATGAAGGGACTGTAGAAGGTGATTCCATTTTGTCATCTCCTGGTTCTGGTAGTAGATTAGGACAGGGGCGAACTGTTAGAGATAGAAGCACATTGAGGAATGCTGACGTTAGAAGGTTGGCTGACTCTAAGAAGACCCTTGTGAAGACCACTTCTGAGGCTTCTGAAAGAGAGGATAATGATGATTGTTTCCAAGAATGCCGTATTGGAAGTAAAGACATCACTGATCTTGTTCGAAAAGCAGTCCGAGCTGCCGAAGCAGAAGCTAGATCAGCCAATGCACCAGGAGAGGCTGTTAAAGCAGCTGGTGATGCTGCTGCTGACCTTGTTAAAACTGCAGCTTCAGAGGTATGCTAGGGATCATTTATTTATTTTTCTCTTCCAAAACCAGAATTTGTACTTTGTCCTTATATCTGTGTACTTGTGTATCAGTGCTTTAATTTTAAACTCATAGAAATGGTAAAATAGTTAATTTGCTTATATATTCAGGAATATAAATCCACTAATGATGAAGAAGCAGCTTTTTTGGCTGCTTCAAAAGCTGCATCGACTGTTGTTGATGCTGCATCTGCAGTTGAAGTTTCAAGGTATGCCAGATTTAATTTCAAGCCTCATTTTAGACCTGTTTACATACTTGAACAAATATCAAGTGTAGTTTGTTTGGGTTATTTAATAACGTTCTCATTGGGCTTGTGGCAGGAGCTCTATCTGCAAAAATACTGAGACAGAGAATGTGAGTGGCAAAGAAACAGAATCTAGTGAGGATGTTGAAGATTACTTCATTCCAGATACTCAGTCACTTGCACAGTTGAGGGAAAAATATTGCATTCAGTGTCTTGAGTTACTTGGAGAATATGTAGAAGTTCTTGGCCCAGTGTTGCACGAGAAGGGGGTTGATGTGTGTCTTGCACTTCTACAGCAGAATTCTAAACATCGGGAGGCATCCAAGGTTGCTTTGCTGTTGCCTGATGTCATGAAGCTAATCTGTTCTTTGGCTGCACACAGGAAATTTGCTGCACTATTTGTGGATCGTGGGGGAATGCAAAAGCTGCTTGCTGTCCCCAGAATGGCTCAAACTTTTTTTGGCCTTTCTTCATGTCTGTTTACTATTGGTTCTCTTCAGGTATTCATGTTGTTTAATAGTGCCAATTGTGAAGTGGTATGGTTAGAAATGTTTGTAGTTGATATGCATGCATGTCTGTTGTTATATTTTTCTGAGCCAAAATGATTATTTCAGGGTATAATGGAGCGGGTTTGTGCTCTTCCATCAGATGTTGTTTATCATGTGGTTGAGTTGGCTCTCCAACTCCTTGAGTGCAATCAAGATCAAGCCCGGAAGAATGCAGCATTGTTTTTTGCTGCTGCATTTGTCTTCAGAGCAGTTCTTGATGCCTTTGATTCCCAGGATGGATTGCAGAAATTACTGGGCCTTCTGAATGATGCTGCTTCAGTAAGATCAGGAGTAAATTCTGGAGCCTTGGGTTTATCTAACTCGGGATCACTTCGAAATGATCGATCATCAGCAGAAGTGCTTACATCATCTGAGAAGCAGATAGCTTATCACACCTGTGTTGCTCTGCGGCAATATTTCAGGGCACATCTCCTTGTGTTAGTCGATTCCATTCGTCCAAACAAAAGCAATCGTAGTGCTGCTAGAAATATTCCAAGTGTAAGGGCTGTGTACAAGCCCCTTGATATTAGTAATGAGGCAATGGATGCAGTATTCCTACAATTACAAAAAGATCGGAAGCTAGGTCCTGCATTTGTGAGAACACGATGGCTTGCTGTTGAGCAGTTCCTGGCATCTAATGGACATATTACTATGTTGGAATTGTGTCAGGTATGGCGTTGGGTTTATACATTCCCTTTATCTTGCAATTTATTTATTATTTATTGTTGGTTGTTTGTAGGCCCCGCCTGTGGAGCGGTATCTGCATGATTTGCTTCAGTATGCGTTGGGTGTTCTGCACATTGTTACATTGGTACCTAGCAGTCGTAAGATGATTGTCAATGCAACATTAAGCAATAGTCGAGTTGGTATTGCAGTAATTTTGGATGCAGCGAATATTGCAAGTAATCATGTAGACCCTGAGGTGAGTCTCTTGTGGTAGCAGTTGTAGTGATTACTGCCCTAATTTCTGCAGGTGGTGAAAGCAATTCTTTTAGCCTTTTGATGTATTGATTATGCCAATATATGGTGTCTTAACTTTTGTTAGCAAACACTTTTGTATTTCAGATAATTCAACCAGCATTAAATGTTTTAGTCAACCTTGTTTGCCCTCCTCCTTCAATTAGCAATAAACCATCTATGGTTACACAAGGTCAGCAGTTTGCGTCTTCCCAAACCTCTAATGGTCCTCCCTTGGAGACTAGAGATAGAAATGCTGAACGTAATATCTCAGATCGAGCTGTTCACATTACTGGCCAGATTGATCCTAGGGAGAGGAATGGGGAACCGAATGCTGTAGACCGAGGCAGTGCTGCGGTCCTTAGTACACAACCTGTTAACAGTACTCCCCAAACTCCTGTTCCTTCTGCAACTTCAGGTTTGGTTGGCGACCGAAGAATATCTCTGGGTGCAGGAGCAGGTTGTGCAGGCCTTGCTGCACAATTGGAACAAGGATATCGTCAGGCAAGAGACGCTGTCCGTTCTAATAATGGTATAAAGGTTCTTCTGCATCTCCTCCAACCGCGCATATATTCACCTCCTGCCGCTCTGGATTGCCTTCGTGCTCTAGCATGTCGAGTCCTGCTTGGATTAGCCAGAGATGATACTATTGCACACATATTGACAAGGCTTCAGGTGAATGCCTGAAACTGATTCTCATTGAACTCAGTCATACTAAAACTATATTCTATCCATTTTATCCTGGTTACATGGGATTGAAATAAGGTGTACTCTGGATTAAACATGGAAATTGAGTTAATTCTGCTCCAACTTTTTTCTTGTATATTTATGTTCTAATGATAGATTTAGAGACAAATACATATTATCAAATGTTGTTGGAATTTAATATCCTATTTTTTGTATGTGTTCTAGGTTGGGAAAAAGCTTTCAGAACTTATTCGGGATTCAGGCAGCCAGACACTGGGAACAGAGCAGGGTAGGTGGCAAGCTGAACTTTCCCAGGCTGCAATTGAGCTAATTGGGGTGAGCATCTCCACCCTTTGGTGAAGCCGATTATTGTGTTTCATAGTATTAATTGTTTGCCACAATCTGCTGTAGAGTAGAATGCTCAGTGTCCATATTTCTTCACGACCCATGTTAACAAAATACCATAAAATTAAGGCTTGATAATATTTGCCAGTGAGTATTTGCGCTTTAGGACACAGGATGAATCTCATTCAGTGAAACAACAGGATTGATATTTTTGGTTGTCATGAACATATTAATTTATAATTTGATTATATTCTAGCTAGTAGAATGTCATATCATTAATGCTTTTTATGTTTGGCCCTTTTTTGTTATAATTTTGGTGGATAGGGTTTTATATATGTGTTGATTGTTGAATATTGTGATAGCTTGTGTTTTAGTTTAGTTGGCTGCATGGTTTTTAGGAATTTTGCTTGCAATTCAGGATAGCTGTAAAATTTCTTTGAAGAGATAAACAAAATGATAGTGGTCATCTGTTTGAAGTAATGCTAAGTCAGGAGATAATGCACAAATGATTGTTATTTTCGTATTTTTATTTATTTTTTGGCTTAAATTTTCAATTTCTCTTGAAGGCTATAAACTCTGTTTAAAATTTCTGAGGGAGAGAAATGTAAACAATTCCATAACGTGACAGCAATAGTAAAGTACACTTGTATTTTTAGTCTCATTTTTGTGACTTCAAAATGGGAGCTAAACCAATCTCTTTCTTCATATCAATGACAGTCCCCATATCTTCACTAGCTAATTAAGTAGGCTAAAGTATTGAACATATTTGGCATTGCGAGTTGTGACTTTAATGATTAGCCTATGCAATCAATTTGCACTCAATTCTTTATGCTCCAACCGTGTTGCTTTGACAGGCTGGTTTGAAATTTAAGTAAGTTGCTTTCTGAAAACCAAGGAAATCAGATGTCACCGCATCGATTATGTTGTTCAATATTCAGTGGTCTTACACAAACCAAGAATAAATACAGATATAATATGTACTTTATGAAGGATACTATTGATATTTCTGTTGAAATTGTATTTGTAGATTGTGACTAATTCGGGGCGTGCAAGTACATTGGCTGCTACTGATGCAGCTACTCCTACTTTAAGGCGCATAGAAAGAGCAGCTATAGCTGCTGCCACTCCTATTACTTACCATTCAAGGTTTTTTTTTTTTTTTTTAATAATTTTACCCTTCAGGATTTTACTATACGTGTGACCCCGTCTCCCCCTGGGGTCACTACCCCTTCTGATGGCTGATGGTACTTGTGTCATATTTTTCTTATTCAGGGAACTCCTGCTCCTTATTCACGAACACCTACAGGCATCTGGATTGATACAAACTGCTTCTGCATTGCTTAAAGAGGCTCAGTTGACTCCTTTGCCATTATTGGTTGCTCCTTCTGCTCTTGCACAACAGCCCACCACACAAGAAGCTTCTTCAACACAAATTCAGTGGCCCTCTGGTCGTACTCCTTCTGGATTTCTCACGAACAAATTAAAGTTTAATGCCAAGGATGAGGATGCTGGCTTAAAAAGTGATTCTGTCTCTGCAAAGAAAAAATCACTGACTTTCTCATCATCTTTTGGTTCACATTCAAGACATCAACTTGTTGATTCTCAGCAGTCATCAGTCAGAAAATGGTTAAGTACTGGGAAAGAGTCTTCTGAAACTAGTATAGTAGAGACTCCATCTGAATCTTCAGTGAAACATAATGTTGATACTGGATCTCAGTATAAAACCCCAATCACCTTGCCAGCGAAACGAAAGTTATCTGATTTAAAGGATATAGCCATGTTTTCATCATCTGGAAAACGACTGAATATTGGGGATCAAGGACTTCGCTCTCCTATTTGTTCAAGTGCAATTCGTAAAAGCAGTCTGCAAACTGATGCTGTTGGGATTTTTACACCAACTGGAAACCTGAGAAATCAACAGGGGCGGTGTACTGGTGACTTTGTAGATGAGAATCAGTACAGTATCTCAACTCCAGGTCAGATGACACCTTCTTCCCAAGTATTAAATGATCTTCAGTCCAACAACACTGAGCGTGTGACATTAGATTCTCTAGTGGTTCAGTATCTGAAGCATCAGCATCGGCAGTGCCCAGCTCCTATTACCACCCTTCCTCCATTATCTCTTCTGCACCCGCATGTCTGTCCTGAACCCAAGCGAAGCCTTGACGCCCCTTCAAATGTGACAGCTCGGCTTGGTACACGTGAATTTAAATATATGTATGGTGGAGTGCATGGGAATCGCAGGGATCGTCAATTTGTTTATAGTCGGTTTAGGCCATGGCGCACTTGTCGGGACGATGCTGGTGCTTTATTAACATGCATTACATTTGTTGGGGACTCTTCTCATATTGCTGTTGGGAGCCATAATGGAGAGCTCAAATTTTTTGACTCCAATAATAACAATGTGGTTGAGAGCTTCACGGGTCACCAGTCTCCTTTGACTCTTGTTCAGTCATTTGTTTCTGGTGAGACCCAGCTTTTGCTTTCTTCAAGCTCCCAAGATGTCAGGTTGTGGGATGCAACATCAATTTTAAGTGGTCCTAGCCATTCTTTTGAAGGGTGCAAAGCTGCCAGGTTTAGCAATTCTGGAAATATATTTGCAGCCTTGTCATCAGAATCTGCACGACGGGAAATCCTCTTGTATGATATCCAAACATGTCAGTTAGAGTCAAAGTTATCAGATACATTTGCAACTTCTACAGGACGAGGTCATGTTTATTCTTTAATCCATTTTAACCCTTCTGACTCAATGCTGCTTTGGAATGGGGTCTTGTGGGACCGGCGGGTTTCTGGGCCTGTTCATCGCTTTGATCAGTTCACAGACTATGGTGGTGGAGGCTTTCATCCTGCTGGCAATGAGGTATGCCGAATCTTGATTCTAAACGATAGAATTTTAAAACCACCACTAATCTCACCTGCATGGATCTAACAATGCCAATGATATGTTGTTAAATTATGGAGTAGAAGGAAAATTATCTTAAATTGAGTACAGGTGAAAAGTGAGGAAAAATAGTCATATATAAAATGTATACTGCTTATGAATCTGTATGGAAGTGGAGAAGAAATATTCGAATATCAACCACATTGTGGAGGAAGGGTTTTGGGATTTTTGTAAAATATTCTACGATTAGTGATTTTGAAGGACAGCGTCATAATGAGCATATATAGTATTTTTATTTTTGTTATTAACTTTGCTTATATTTTCTGTCTAGCAGGTTATTATAAACTCTGAAGTCTGGGATTTGCGCAAGTTCAGACTGCTACGCAGTGTACCCTCATTAGATCAAACAGCAATAACATTTAATGCACGTGGTGATGTAATGTATGCAATCTTAAGGAGAAATTTGGAGGATGTAATGTCAGCAGTCCACACACGTCGTGTCAAGCATCCTCTTTTTGCAGCTTTCCGCACAGTTGACGCAATAAATTATTCTGACATTGCTACTATCCCTGTTGACCGCTGTGTTCTTGATTTTGCAACGGAGCCAACAGATTCATTTGTTGGGCTGATCACTATGGACGATCAAGATGAGATGTATGCATCTGCCAGAATCTATGAAATTGGTCGTCGAAGGCCAACTGATGATGATTCTGATCCTGATGATGCTGAAAGTGAGGAGGAAGATGAGGATGATGACGATGATGATGCAGATGTTGATCCTCTTTTAGGCCCTGGTCTGGGCGGGGAAAGTGGAAGTGATGCTGATGACATGAGCAATGATGATGATGATGACGACGATGATAGTGTGAGCGAGCTTGATGAAGATGAAGATGGAGATTTCATTTTGGATGATGTAGATTTTGATGGAGGTGGACCTGGCTTGTTGGAGATTGTGACAGAAGGTGATGAGGATGATGATGATAGTCAGGTTCTAGAATCTTTAAGTAGTGACGAAGAGGATTTTGTGGGTAATGGCTTTGGCTATTAATTTTTAATCGAAGAGGCTGTAATTATTTCTTTCTTCATTATATTCATTTTTGGGCGAAAGGTCAATCAATTTGGCTCAAAATTTTGCTGTGGTCTTTCACATTTATGTCCTCTGCGAACTTATCAAATATCAATGCCTGAATGTCAAGAAGCGCAGTTGTATATATCGTTACAAAACCGCAGTTTTACTGTGAGCCACGATGTGGCTTGTGTCTCTTTCCGCTGCGGGATATTCGAAGCAGAGATGTCCATCTTCATAGTAATAATAATGGAATAGATAAAAAAAAAAGAATATTTCTTAACTGGCTTTACGCTGCATCTCAATCTTTTTTAAAGTCAATATTTCAATTCTCAATTGTGTTCTAATTTTGGTTGTATTATCCGCGTCACTGTTCGGGCAGACCATTATTGCACTCGCCCAAGCCCCACCCAATCTGTGAAGCAGCTCGGGCCTGAAATATGATACTTTTCAGAAAACATTCTGTTTTCAATTTTAAATTTCAAATATTAGGTTTATTTAGTTTTTATATAATTTTCTAACGTGTGCTTATTAATATATAAATATGAACGGTATTTTTAATTCAAATTTGTAGTATTTAGTATTAATAAAAATTATAATTTCAAAGTTGTCACTGTATTTACTTCTGTTCTGTTGTTGCATCTGGTCTCTTTTTGAAAAATTGAATTTCCTATTCGCAATTGGTGTTTGGGGGCACGATATAATAGCACCGTTGAAGACTTTTTTTATAAGAAACATTTCAAGATAACTAAACACGTTGATAAACCTGTTGTCTATAAAGCTTTTGAGTTTTTGAAAAAAAAATAAATCAACTTCCATATTTACCTGACTGCCAAAGAGCTACTTTGGTAGCACTTATAGTTGAGGACATATTCATGATGCATGGTGTCTTTTAGGGGACTTTAACCAAACCCTTCTTCCCTTATACCAGAAAGGAGACATGTTTAACCATAACCACGCTTCCTTATTTGCTAATGTATTTCAATCCCAAAGGTTGCTAGATATACATTCTATTGATACTAAATTTACATGGAAAAGGTGTGAAAGGGGAAGAACAAAGTTGTTAAAGAAGCTTGATAGATGTATAGCTGACATTACTAGGCGTATGAGTTTTTCGAAAATACTGGTTGAAAATTTAAATAAAATTCATTCAGACCATTCTCTTCTTCTCAGGTGTGGCGGGGTTCAAGTAGGTAGAGTTGAGTGTCCATTTCGATTTGAAGCTATTTGGATCATGCATGAGAAGTATGAATCTATTGTCTAGCAAGCTTGGAACTTAGCCTTAAAAAGTTCAAGCGGCATTGTTGGTTTTCAATAAAGACCATTTGGAAACCTTCATTTGAAGAAAAGGGAGCTTGACAGACGTATAAGGGGCATTCAGAAGAGGTTTGAACGTGTTGATTCAGTTACCCTTACAAATCTTTATTCTGAAATCAAGGAGTATGAAAAGATTACTTGAAAAGGAAGAGATATTCTCGTACCAAAAATCTAGTGAACAGAAAATCAAGTTTGGAGATAGAAACACAAAATACTTCCACACCTAAACTGTAATGAGGAAAAGAAATAAAATATATGGGCTGCATCTGCCAAATGAAAACTCGTGCACACACGATGATATTTTAAGGAAAGAGACAAGCTAATTTTTCTAGGAGCTGCTTTGTTTGCAAGAAGAGGTGAATCTGACCTTATAATGGGAATTCTGAGGACCAATATTGTTTCAAGGGGCAACCAAGTCTGTCGTAAAGCTTGTCACTAAAGAGTATAGAGCTTAATTTAGGATTCGGTGAAGGAGGCTTTTCAAAGAGTTGTTTTCAATCCTGGTATTTCTGAGACAAATTTGTCATGGTATTTCAATCCTTGTTGACTTAGTATAGGACGATGACTAGTACTTGTTGAACTTATATACTGATTTTGCCTTTGATTTTGTCGGCGAGCTTTCGAGAGTGGATTCGACCATTCTCCGATCAATAGTCAAGAGTAACCACATTCTGGTGGTGATGTCGGTGGCGGCGGACGAGTTTAGACAAGCGTACAACATGAATGCAAATATATTGGCCGAAGAGTTGGCTGCGGCGCTGGGAGCGGAGAAGTTGATATTGTTTACGAACGTGGCAGGAATATTGGAGGATCAAAATGCCCCAAATAGCTTGTTGAAGAAGATTTATACAAAAGGGGTTAAGATAATGATGGAAGATGGAAAGGTCGGTGGTGGAATGATCTCAAAGGTCAATTGTTGCGGGGTTACCACTGCTAGTACTAAAGAAAACTGTATTACTAGAAAACATGTACCTCCGTTAACGAGAAGTAACTGAGTGAAACTTGTTTATAACTAAAGTTAATACTTTCCCACAAGATGGGTTGTGGAAAATGTTTGGAACACCCATCTTGGATAATAAAGTTTTAAAAAGAGGATTAGGAAGGGTTTGGGTAAGTAAGTTTGCAAGTTGGTGTTTGCTTGGGACATGGACCAATCGAATTGATCCTTGCTGAACTTTTTCTCGAATGAAGTGGAGGTCGATCTCAATATGTTTTGTCCTCTCATGAAAAGTTGGATTACAAATTGGTTGTTATGTATGTTAAGAATCTATACCACAGAACTGGACAAATCAATCTGAAAGTCTTTAAGTAAACTGTGAAGCCAAGTTAATTCGCTTGTTATGGATGTTAAGAATCTATACTCTGCCTCTGCTGAACTTCTTGCAACTGTTGGTTGTTTCTTAGATGTCCAAGATATCATAGAGTCTCCAAGGAAAGCACACTGACCCGAGATAGATTTTCTAGTGTCAGTGCAAGTGCCTCAATTTGCATCTGCATAAGCACTGGGTCGTAGTTGAGATTTTGAGAAGAAAAGGATTCCTTGGCCTGGTGTTGATTTTAGATATCTAAGAAGATGATGAATGGCTTGCAAGTGAGAAGAGTAAAACTTTGACATATATTGACTAAGTTTATTAACCACAAAGGTAATGTCAAGTTTTGTGATTGTTAAATAGAGGAGTCTGCCAATCAATCTTCGATAAAGGGTGTTGTCCTCTAGTGGTTCTCTTGAAGTTGCATTCAGTTGTGTTGGGATCCATTGGGAGGGCTGCAGGTTTTGCTTCCAGAAAATTGCAATCTTCAAGTAGTGAAAGAGTGTATTTTCTTTGAGAGAAAAATTCCTTTAGATGATCTAGCTACTTCAAGTCCAAGAAAATATTTTAATGATTCGAGATCTTTTAAGTTGAATGCTTTCTGTAGTTGCTCTTTAATCTGAGATATTGTTGTTGTGGATGCACTGGCAATGATAATATCATCTACATATACCAATAAGAAAACAAAACCGTTGTTAATTGCTTTAGTAAAAAAGGAATAATCATTCTTGAATTAGGAGAATCCTAAGGATATAAAGGTGGTGGAGAACTTAATGAACCATTGTCTTGAAGCTTGTTTGAGCCCATATATGGACTTACCGAGTTTACAAACTAGGCTCTCCCCCTTAATTAGATATCCAAGAGGTAGGTCTATGTATACTTCTTCAAAGAGATCTCCATTTAGAAAGGCATTATTAATATTTAGTTGTGCTAAGTGCCAATTCTTGGAAGCTGCTACAAATAAGAGAACTCTCACAATTGTGAGTTTTGCAACAGGAGAAAAAGTATCCATAAAATCAATTTCTGCTTGTTGTGTGTAGCCTTTTGCTACTAATCTAGCTTTATGTCTATTTATTACTCCATCAACATTGTATTTTACCTTGTATATCCATCTATAACCTATAGAATGTTTTCTAAGGGGTAGAGTGGTTACAATCTAGGTGTTGTTTGCCTCCATAGCATCAAATTCTTCTTTCATAGCATTTCTCCATTCTTGGTGAGGTGCAGCTTGATTGTAAAATTGAGGTTCAAAAATTGAATCAACTTACATGAGGTAGTTGTGATAGGATGGAGTAGCGAGTTATACCCAATGAAATTGGACATGGGGTGTGGGATGTTATGTTCATAATCTGCTAAGTAAGCAGGGGTTTTGGGCATTCTTGATGATTTTCTTGGTTGAATGGGTTGAATGACATCAGGATGGAATTAGAGGAGCTCGAATCTGAGGTTTTTGTAGTATATTCAACTGTTCGTGGCTGAATGACAGGTTGAGGAACATCTAGTTGTATCTCAAGTTGAGGGATAATTGGTTGAATTGCAAGTTGGGAAATGGCTAGGACAGGAATATCGGTTTGAAGTATATCAGTGGCAGGTTGTGGAGTAATAGTATTGGAAAAGATGTCTTCTACTATTGTAGTTGTTTGCTGTAAAGAGTGAAAAGGATATGTTTCCTCGTGGAATGCCACCTCTTGAGATTAAAAATTGCTAGTGAAAAGATTGTATAACTTGTAACCTTTGAATCCAGGTAGATAATCAAGGAAGACACATGGTGTGGCTCTTGGTGAAAATTTGTTCCTTTGTGAGGGCAAGGTAGAAGCAAAGGCTAGGCAACCAAAGTTTCTTAAAGCAACATAGTCAAGTAACTTATTGTAAAGCAACTAAAATGGTGATTTAGCATGAGGTAAATTAGGAGATGGTGTTCTATTTATAAGGTAAGTGGCAGTGGAGAAACAGTCTCCCTAAAAGGATAAAGGAACCTTGGATTGAAAAAATAAAAATCTAGTCACATTAAGTAAATGTTGATGTTTTCGTTCAACTACAAAATTTTGTTCAGGCCTCTCAACATAGGAAAATTGGTGCAATGTTCCTTGCTTGGCTAAAAATTTTGTCAAGGCCAACTCTTTGGCATTGTCAGATCTTAAGATTTTAATAGTGACACCAAATTGTGTTTTAACCATTGCAAAGAATTCAATAATGAGTTAAAGTGCATGTGACTTATTTTTTATGAGGAAAGTCCAAGTGAACCTTGTGCAATCATCTACAATAGACAAAAAAAAAATCTATGATGCTTATAAGTAGAAGTATGATAAGAGCCTCATATATCACAATGTATTAGATCAAAAGCATTAGCAGATAAATGGTTATTAGAGATGAAAAACAATCTTCTTTGTTTTGCTAAAAGGCAGACAATACAGGTATTAATATGCATACATGCATTTTTATTGGTTTTACAAGTGGAAAGTAAAGCCTAGAAGTAGACATGTGGCCTAGTCTAAAATGCAAAATATTAATGGAAACATTATTTGTATAAGTGCAATTGTGAACTACATCAGTTTTTGAATGAATCTTTAAGATATAGAGCTTATCTTCAAGGTTAGCCTTGCCAATCATCTGAGAATTTGGGTCCTGAGTTAAGCAATGGTTAGAATTAAAGAGAAAAGAAAAATTTGATGTAATAGTAGCAACAGAAACTAATACAATATTGACTCTAAAGGATGGAATGAAAAAAACATTCTTTAATAACAAGTTTGGGAATAGTTTAATGTCACCAATTCCTTGTACAACAACTTTGCTATGATCAGGCAACAAAACATATGTATTCATAACAGGTAATAAGAAAGTAAAATGATGGGGAGTGCAAGCGATCTATTTTGTGGCACCTGAGTCAATAATCCAAATATTGCTTAAGGAATGAGAGTTATTTTCACTAGAGTTATTGATGATATCTCCCAAGAATTCATCAGTAACAACAAGTGTAACAGCTTAAGAAATCTGAGTGGCTAGCATTAAAAGCAAATTCTGATATTGTTTTTCATACATGCCAAGGGAATGTATAATTTCTGAAGTGTCAGAAACTTGATTCACAGAGTTAGCCAAGTTCTTGCCTTTTCCTTTGTATTTAGGAAGTTAACCAATTAACTTATAACATTTGTCTTTAGTGTGACCAATGTAGCCATAGTTAGAACATTGAGGTCTCTCTTTCTTGCCTTTGGCTTTGTTTTTTTCAATGTTCGACTTGATAGCAAAGGCCATCTGAATTTCTTGGATGCCAGAAAATTGACCAATTTGTTGTTGCTTCTCTTCTTGAAGGATGAGGGAAAAGGCTTTAATAACATTGGGTAAAGGTTATTGCAGTAGAATTTGTCCTCGAACAAAGGAGTATGAGTCATTCAGCCCCATGAGAAAGGAAAAAAGATATTCTTGTTTGAAACCTTCGAATAGAGATCTAGAGCCTCCACAAGTGTGGGTGCAAGAGGTTTTGAATGAATTCAACTCTTTCCGGATGACTTTCAATTTGGTAGAATGTCATTAACCTTTTTTTGTGTTCAAACACCCTTGGACCATTTTGTTGCTTGAACTGAGTTTGTAGATCTTGCTACATTTCAGCAGCAGTGTTGGCGAAAATGATACTCTCCACCAAATCTTTTGAAACAACATTAAGAATCTAAGACATGATGATTTGGTTGTTTTGATTCTAGGAAGAACAAAATAGAGGTTGAGAATCATTAGATCTAGAAATTGAGCCATCAATGAAACCAAATTTGTTTTTCGCAAAAGTGCAATAGACATGGATCTACTCCATGAAGCATAGTTATTAGAAGAAAGCGCTTGGGAGAACAGAACAAGCCCAGGGTGATCTAAAGGGTGCAAAATATATGAATTAGAAGCTTCATCCATGGGAGGAACTTGAGCCATAGCTTCAAAGGAGAAGAAAACAGAAGCAAAAATGCACAAGTTGAGGAAAGAACACTGAAAGAATGAAGCAGAATCTTGATTGTTTATGAGAAAGAGAACAAAAGTTTTCACTGATACTATATTAAAGAAAATTATTTTACTAAATAACATCATATTTTCGTTAATAAAAATTAAGAATATATATACAACTTTGAAAGGAGGAAAATAACAAGAATGTGACTTAGTTAACAAACTTCTAACAACTTGACATTATGACAAAGTAACTAACTATCACTAAAGAAGGTTAATAATAGTGGAAATTGTTTCTAACTAAAGTTAATAGCTAGTATTATTGATGGTCGTGTTCCTCACTTTGCTTCTTGTGGTTTTAATTGATGAAGGTGCTAGAACTATGACTACTGACTAGGTTTTAATTCATTTCCATCCATTTTTTTAACCCTGAATTAAAAAAATAACTTTCCAAGTTCAAGGCTTTTAGTGTTATTTTCCATGCGTTTCTTGTTAATCATGTACTTGTTTTTGTTAGTTTCATGATTGGTTTCATTCATCTACAAATTAATTGCACAAACTCAAAAAGGATTACTAATTACAAAAATAAACTAAAAGCATAAATTTAGCCATATGATATTTATATATTATATACTCAAGTATTTCAGAAATTTCCAGGTGCACATCCTAAGAGACAAAAATGGGTTCATGAATTCAGAGACAAAAACTTATGATCCTACCCAAATTTTTCATGACAAACATTCTATGCCACTGCTAGACTTCAATGCAGCCGCAACGCAGGTTTAAAGAGGGCCTACGTAGACTGCGATAAATCTTATGTCTTCCCTTCATGTGCTTCGTCATCGGAATCCGATATAATGATAGATTCTACGGCAAAATTGCGAGTAGGTCTTTGTCTCAATCTTTGCTTTGTAGCTAAGCCTCTGCTTTCTAAAATAGTGTGGCTAGCCACTCCAGCTAACCGCTTGCTGCAACGAACACCCTTAGGATAAGAAACTACAGGACTTGAATGTGCTTCCGAATTGCCCGACTCACTCTCGATATCATCATCATTTTCCTCCTCGCTACTACTTTGATTCTCAATCTCGTGACCAGTGTCGTCACTATCGTCTAAAATCGAGAGCACACCCCCTTCAGAATCACTGTCTATTGAAATATCCTTTATGTTGGATTTATCTTCTGATCCTTTGGTTTTACCTTGATCAGCAACCAGAGACTTTTTCCTTTTACTGAACAAATCAAAATGAAGAAATTAAAAATTATAAAAGCAGTCAAAAAGTGATGGACAACACATACATTTTAAAAAATTGAAACTACAAATGTAAATGATTGCACGTCTGTTGAGTATAACCATAGTTTTGACAGCTTAGGTTATATCTCAATCTCATCCACTTTCATCTCAGCATGTGCATATACATGTGAAAGTAATCATGCAAAAGCAGCCAAGTATAAGCTGAAAGAAAAATTCAAAGTTCACTCCCTCTTTTAAAGAAGTGTTGACCCAACAAAATCTAAACTTCATTTAATTATCGAAAAATTACTCTCACCATTCAACAAGGATAAAATCTTACATGGCAAGGCAAAGCAAACAAAATGAACAAACCCAATGCAGTAAAACATACTTTGTTAACTGTATTGCCTCCTTCATTGTTCGATCGTAAGCCTCTGCAATATTTCCCAGACAGAAACTTATTAATATCTAAAAATCCAATTGATTTCATGATGCTGCAAAAAAAGGAAATAAATCAAAACAGCTTATACTCAATAGATAATTTGTTAGACACATCAAATGTGTTTAGTTATTAATGATACACTCAATCTAATTCATATATGCATATTGAATTAACAGCTAATGAGAAGATACCGGTAGGGATAGGAATTAGAAATGTAATTCTAACATTGATGGATGTGGATAAATTTTTAAATAATTTACCATCCTAGATTAAAATAACCGTTTCACACTTGAATATTTCATGTAAACACTCCCTAAGACTAGAAACTAAAACAAAATACAGGAGACTATTGACAGTGACATTGAAATTATTTGACCAGAGAAAGTTTAGATAAAGAAATACTGAGCAATTCCAAACACTGAAATGTAACAACTCAAGTTCTATGCATGATATTGTAATATGAAGGACATCTCACAGATGCATGCACAAACATCCTCGCCTGCTCAATTAGCAAGACCTACCCTCACTAAAAAAAGTTAACAAAGTCAAATCGACTATGCAGGATAACAATTGTCATATGCATCAGAATTGCAGGCGCTAGAATGCAAGATGTGTATGGCACAAAATTGAGCGTATAATACACATCTTACCAAATGTATAACTAATAGGCCTTCGAGTGCGACAAGAGCGTGTATTTCCAGAACAATAAGGATTTTGAAAATCTTTTAAGAGCATGTGCTGCCTTTGCTTTTGCTTTATTGCTCTATCTTTCCTCTGCACAACTCAAAAGTGATATTACTTCACATCAATATTGCAAAGATGAGGGTGTTCACTTGAATGTACACCTATCAGACACTACATAAAAAGATGTCCATCATACCTTTTGAATCTTTTCAAGAGCAGGAATAGCATCACTTTGAAGATTCGTGCTAACAGCAACTTCGGCAGCTGACTTGCTGAATGAGAATTTTTCCTGTAATTAACAATTAAAGACAATGTTAACCAAGGTTTCAGAACTGGGGAAGAAAAGCTAGACAAAGGCAGTTAACTTGATCTTACAGCTACTTCTGAAAATTCTTCAAGACTGGAAGCAAGTGTTTCCCATTGAAATTTGATAGCAGGGAGTGACATACATCCTTCCACCTTATCTTTTGTATTTGAGTCTGATGTGATAATTTCCCTGTACAATCTGTGACTATGACCCTTCCCATTTGCGTCATACCTAAAGCACAGTCCGAAGCATTAGCAATGACAATTTTAAGATTTTTGGAATCTTAGAAATAACAGAACATTTTTAAAAAAATTTACCAATAAGATGTGCCAGTTTCATCTCTTCCTATGGCATCTTTGCGAAAATATGAAATTTGAAAACCTTCTTTTAAAGCATCATTGATGTATGACACTGCATCATGTTGCTGAACATAAACATACACCCAAACAAAATAATTCACATTAGACAAAAATAGAAAGGGAAAAGTATCCATATAAGAAAGAAACAAAAATTTGAAAAACAGAACAGGAGATAATAATACATCAGCTCGAACTTCACAAAGTGCTTTTAGCAATAGTAAACGATCAGATGGATCAAGCTCCTTGTACTTGGATATCTCCTCTCTGCACAAGCACTGATGAAGTAAGTTTTTTAAAACATCAAAGCAAATAATAAAACATGATAAGTGCATCTCAGTACCCTTTAGATGGGATAAGTGGAATCTTCCCCTCAGCAACCTGTAGCACAAATCCAACCAGCACATGTAAGTAGTAAATTCAATTGGCAAAGGGAAGAAAAAAGATGATGCAAACTCAAAAGCAATTTGTTAGTGACTCACCCATGGCCACCACATGGACAGTTTCTTACAGAGTGCAGTCACCCATTTATCAGAACCATCCAATATTTTACTCACAGGTGGTGTTCCCTGGCGATAATGCAAATGAAATTTTAAAAATAGGAAGCCATCAACCAAAATATAGTAACATACAAGAAATAGGAAGCCAATAGCATTTGCCTTGTACATTTTGTGTTATCCTGGTGATTTTCTATGTATAAGAAAAACTGTTCATTTCCCTACATCTCTGTTTAACTCATGTACTTTAGAGTTTAGACCATGTAATTCCCTTTTGGCAATAAATATGAAAAATTCAATAATGCAGTTCATGAGGAGTTTAATTCAACCGATAACTGATCTGTGTGTATTGCCTGTTGCATAAGACGTGAAAACAAAGTAACTGTTAGCAATCAAAGCTTTTAAATTTAAGCATTGAACAAAATCTCAGATTTTACCAACAAAACAATTTGTGAGACTCAGTAATCTTCACCCTTGATCACTTATTACCACGCCAAATATTAAGTACAAAAGAAAACACGACCACTTTCCCATCCATTTTCTATTCAGTAGAATTGAAACCAAAAACATAAAAATAGTCCAAAATGGCAGAATTTACATTTGCACGGAGCATCTCTACCACTACCAGTAGTCTCAAATAATATTGCTGGCACCAACCCATCAACCAACCACTTTTTTAATAGTACCATCGAATAAAACGTTTTTCACACAGACACTTGCACGTTTGCATAAGGTACCTTCAAAAGCTGAATATGAAGCCTAGCAAGTGAAGCATCAGGCTTAATAAGCCCGATCTCTATTTCTTCAGCTGACAACTTCAAGTCTTTACCAAGTATTGGACCAAACACCTGAATCGCGCCATTTCAATATTATACATAAATAACCAAAAACAGTATGCACCACTCGAGTTATAATTATACTTCACTACCCAAAATAAATAATAAAAAAAAAACTACAACTCGATTTCGTAACCTAGAAGATACAATCCCAAGTTCCAACCAATTGGAAAATACGGATAAATATAAATTAAATTGAGTTACTCGTAGATAACACGGAAATCCACAGATATCTTACATCTAAAAAATTGAGAACAGAAGCGAGTTCCCATCGTCCACGCAGCTTCAGAATTTCTAACTCCAAATTATTTTCCTCCGCACGTGCGTTTCGCTCCTCCCCGCCACCACCTTCTTCTGCGGCCCGCATTGTCCCTCCCGCAACAGTAACTATATACGCTTTCACGGAGAACGAGCGAAATTTTATTGAAAGAGAAAATGAAATATATGTGAGAATGCGAAGCACTTTCCCGCTCGAATAGTTTTTTAGATTTTACTATCAGTTGAGTGTTGAGAATAATGGTACTGTAACTTTTGTTTAGGTTAGATTTTTCTAGGGTTAATTTCATGATCGCGCCTTTTCAATTTTCATTCCCTCGCATCGCTAAACGCACCGTTCAATCAACAATTTGTATGTCTGTGCTATTTGCCGCAGTAAAATGCGGTCATTTTGGATCTTCATAACGATGGTGTCTCGAGTCTTTTCCAAAATACTAAAATAGATTTTTTTTCGTTTTTATAAATAATGATGAATCTTTTGGGGTATCGTCTAAATATAGTTTGCAATTTAAAAAGTTTAATTTTTTATTTGGCAAAATATTCATATGCTTTTACATGTCTTTTGACCTAATACTTTACAGTTTTAACTCGTGCTTGTATTTGCTTGATTTTTTTAAGGGTTTTTTTCTCCTTCTAGGGCAATACGAAAACATTTTTTCTAAAATTTTGTAAACTTTAAAAAATATATATATAATAAGTTATTCATGAAAAATACAAAATTAAAATAAACTTTAGATATATAAAATTATTTTTTTGAATAAGTTTTTTTTATTAAGCATTTTTTTTTTAAATAAGTTCTATGTATAATAAGTGACTTTCTATTTTTTTTAGCACATAATAAATGTTCATTTTTATTTTTTAATTCAAAAAGTAAAGTTATGTGTGGTAAAATACTAAAGTTATGAGCTCATAACTTTTATCCACAAAGTTAGTTAAAAGTTATTAACTTATAAATCGCTTATAAAATTAAAAGTAATTAATTTAATTAATTAACTACATAAAAATAATTTTTTATATATTTAAATAGGTAATATTGTAAGTTATATATATATATATATATATATATATTAATATAAAGTTCGTTTAAATAAAAAAAAACACATAAGAAAAAGTAAATTATCATGAAAGTATAAAAAAAACGAACATATTTATAATTCTTATAATTAGTTAAATGAATAAAATGTATCATTAATATGCAAAAAAAAAAATGTTCAAGTCAAATGTGCATGTACAGTTTGTATGATTTTATAAAAAAAAAGAAAAAAAACATTTACAATGTACATGGTTAATTTTCTAAAATTTTTAAATTTATATGAACTTCGGAAGCAAGATGTGAGACATACATAAGACATACTATTAATTTTTTTTTTAAAAATCTATCCAAACACAACTGAAGCCGTGAACCAATGGAAAAAACAAGTAAAGTTATAGGCAACATGCAGGCTACTTTGGTTTAAAATAATAATTTTATAATTCGTATTTTGCATGTGTATGTATTTTTTATATATGTTACGGTTTACGACTTATTTTATGTTCATATATTTTTTCAAAATATTATTAATTTTGTATTTTTATTTTCAATTATAGTTAAATATAAAAATAAGTTAATTTTAAAGTTTGTCTTTAACAAAATTTAGTTATAAATAAAAATGCAACATCAAATGTTATTTGTGTTTTTAAATTAATAAATTAAATAAAAGTATACAAAAAGAAGTTATGTTTTTTACATTCGTTATTGTTATTATTATTATTTTAATAAATATGTAATTTTTGTGTGTATGGTTAATGGAAATATGAGGATTCATCTTTTATATATATATAATTTGATTAAGATAAAAAAATTATTTATTTAATTTAAAAATAATATTTTTATCAAAAACTATAGTAGATAATGCTCTACTTTTTTATTTTTTAATATTTACATATAAAAATTATAATATTTAATTATTTTTTAATAAAAGTATTATTATTTCTGATAATTTTTGCAAATTTTTTATTAAAATTAGTTTCAAAATTTTTTAAACATCAATACTTAATATTTGCTATTTGTTCTCTCTTATTAAGTGACAAAGTGGGTTATAAAATTTCATTTTTATGTTATTTATTTTTTAATATTTTATTATTTAAAATTAATATTTATAAATAAATTTTTAATAAATTATTTATTTCACTATTATCTCTGTTCCTTCAATCTTAATTTTTTTACAAAACCACTTCACCCTTATATTATGACTAACAGATTTTACCTAACTCCCCTCTTTTCATGGAAACCCCTTCGCTCTCGCCTTAACACTCATCTCTTTCTTCAGTTGGTTCCAAACTAACGCACCCTTTTCTCTCTCTCCATCTCTACAGTCACTCCTCATTCTCCTCCCTCCGCGTATTATCTGACGCCAAGAACCTTCTCCTCTCCTTCATCTCCTCCCATGGCCACCACTCCCTTCACCGCTTCCTCCTCCACCCACCCACTACTTCTCCAAACTCGTCTTCAATACTTTCCTTGCCGCTTACCAACATGCCAAATAACCTCTCCACATTTCAACTTAAAAAAAATAAATAAAAATGAAATGACTCTGTTTTGTTCGTAATCTTCTCACCTATAATACCCTTCTTAAATCCCTCGTTCGTTTCTCTTTCTCTTTCTCTTTCTCTCGCTCCATTATCTTCTCCCCCCAAGTTTTCCATGATGCAATTAAACTTGGTGTCAAACCCAAGACCAACAACTTCAACATTTTGATCTATGGGCATTGCTCTGCGAACAGACTTGATGATTCTCTTGCTTTGAGGAATCGAATGGGTGAGTTTGGCTGTTTCCCTAATAATGTCACTTACAATACCCTTTTGAATGCATTGTGTAAAAAGAGTCAGTATAATAAGGTGAGGGAAGTGCTGCAATAGATGAAGAGTAGTGGTTTGATTCCCGATAGGACTAACTATAATATATTGGTTAGTGGGTATTGCAGGATGAAGTGGAGGCTTCTAAGGTTGTTGAGTTGATGACAAAAATGGTTTGTTGATTGATGTTTGGACTTACAATACGATGTTGAGGGTGGTTGTGTGACCAGGGAAAGTTTGATGAAGCTATGAGGCTTAGGGATGAGATAGAGTTTGAAACTGATGTTTGATGTTGTTACTTATAATATTTTGATTGATGGGTGTTATGGGTGGCAGCGAAGTGCAGACGCAGGTTAGATGGGTAAATGAAGACGAGAGCAGTTAAGCCAAATGTTGTCACTCGTAAAACAATGTCTAAAAATCGGGATGATGTTGAAGAGGAATAGAGGTAGAAGGAGAAGAGATTCAGATGATTGTTTTCTAAATATTTTAAAAGTATTCGAAGACTTGTTTGAAAATTTTGATGAACTCTTATCACTTAGTAGTAAATAAGTGAAAGTATAGACTAAATCTAAAAAAAAAAATCAAATAATTTATCGTAAAAAGTGTTAGTTTATATGAAAAAAATATAATTTATTATTTTTATAATTATCAATAACACAATATTTTTCTTAAATAGAATAAAAAATATTTGTTTTAAACAAAATGATGACAATAAAAATTGATTCCATATGCTTAAATTTATTTTATCAGTGGAAAGAGAAACATCTTCTGTTTATTTTGTTATAATAAATTAATCTTCATCTTCCTTGCTATAAATTTTGGTAAGCATGTATATAAAACTTAGTTAACTCCCAAAATCGATGTTAGTATCATGCATATCTATAACTATGTTTTACTGTATAGTTAATTATGGCAATAAAAATGATGAACTATCTAATATCATAAACAAGACATAACAATAATGGGAAAAAAATCTATATTTACTTTTATAGACATAATTTAATGAAAAGTAAATATTAATAATTTGAATCGATATAGTCATTCGCTCTATCATTATTTGATACGTCAAAGCTATATATTTTGGTGTATACTTTTTTTTGTTGCTAATGGTGTATACTTTAGATAACATTCAACCAATAATAATGTATTGTCCTTTTAACTTATAGGGATCATTTTTTCAAAAAGTTTTATCAGTTTTAATAAAATACTTTTTAAACACACGTTAAAGTTCTAAATCCTAACTCTTGTTAACATACTTAAAATACATTATTATCTACCCACTGTATATCAGACTTTATTGAAATATCAAATCTACATATAATATTACAATTCATCCACTACAACTAACACATAATATTTCGAATCCTTTAAATTCCCATTAAATAATTTTTTTTTCAATTCTTTCATTTATTCTCTGTTTAATTAACTTTTCATATCTATGACTCTTATAGTTTAACATAACTATTTTTATTTTTAAAATATGATTTCCAGTTAATAGTACATAAATTCACAAAAAAAAAAGGTTAAAAAAATAAAATTTTATATTTAATCACGTGTAAAGATATATTAGTTTCTTTTCAACTTTCATCCTTTCATCCATTTAACATGAAATAAAATTAAATTAGTCGAAACATATTTTTTTTCCACTAATATTTGGACGCATCTTTTATTTGTTTTTTTTTTTTTTTACTTTCTAATAGTCTGCGTAAATTAAAACTACAATATATGTGTAGAGGATTTTGTTAATTAAATATAAGAATTTAAAAGTAACAAGTTTTTTTTCCTTATCTTTTATTTTATTAGAGATACATGAATATAATGCATAATATTTAATATTATTATTATTACGATTTTATCGAATTAAGTGTTAAATTGTGAAATTAATATCATTCGTTTTTAAAAGTAATTTCCATGTTATTAATAAAATCTTTTTTTTTTAATTGCAACTCGGATATTTTCCCACTTAAAATGGCAACACTAACAAAATTAGCATTCAAAAAGATGTACAGGGTTAGCATTTAAAAAATATTGTATTATTTTAATAATTTTTTCCGTAAAGGATAAATTTGTATAAAACGGATAAAAAGATGTTATTTTTCAAAAAAAATTCATTAAAACCTTGAAAAGTAAAGTCATCGAAAAGGACAAAAGATAATACTTATAAAATTTTAATGCTCCTTAGTCCTTACAGTTATTTTTTTAGGTTTCCAAAATAATCAATAGACGAGTAAGAGGATAGCAAAGTAAGAATTT